TTTTCCGATAAAGTGACAGCTACGTGAGATCCAAGGATGAGTAGATCTCGGTTCTGCATTGGTAGGGCTGGGAGAAGGGCATTCTCAGCTGTAGGAGTCTGACCCTCCCGGTGGGTTCAACAATGCCTGGGAATCCCCACTGCAGGCCCTTCTGCTGCAGAGACCCTTCTGAACACACCTCTTTGGGACTCCTCTGGGGCTCTTTGGGTAGGTGTCTTTAAAAGACAGACTGTCTGATAAAGCACATGATGAGAACTTTTAACAAAGATAAACAAATGTTATTTTTGTCTCCATAATACCCTCTACCTTTGGGGAGGTATTTAGTGCTTCAGTTCTGTATGGTATAGAGCATGTAGAACTTGGAAAGCTTCTAGAGTTCTAAAAATGAACAAGCTGAGCTGCCCACTACATGCGCACTTACGTGTCTCCTCCTATCTTGCCTACAGATTATATATACCCCTCTTGGTGGCTTATGTGTGTCTAGGTCTCCACACACGTGCATGCACACTGGGTGTATGGCCTGGATGTGCAAGTACAACATATCAGAGAGGTGGCTTAATGGCAATATAAGCCACTTCATTTATGGCAGACTTCAGGCAAGTTAGTGACAACACTACGAGGGGTAGAAGTCATTTACTTCTGGGTTACTTGAGCATGGGGTTTTGTTTTGTTTTGTTTTTTGTTTTTAATTCATGGTTTTTCTTGGGAGTCGTCATCAGTGGAGGCTTGGGTGTGAGAAAAAGACACATCGGGCTGCATTAGCTGTTTCTCGGAGGAACAGCATTTCCCAGCAGGAGAGAACAGGTTAGCCTCACGGTCAAGGGCAGCACTGCAGATTGGCACTTGCATCTGGGGATATCCTAGTTTTGACACTTCAGGGCTCCCGTACCCTGGGCATGTTGCTTAACCTCACCTTGTGGCTGATACCCCTTCTCTCATAAAGTTTGTGTGAGAGAGAGGTGAGCAGAGTTATTTATAAAGAAAGCATTTGAGAACAATATGTAGAATGCTATGTTCAATGTGTATTATTATTATTATTAGTGTCTCTTGCAGACATTTTTCCTTTTTCTCTCGGCGGTACCAACAATCCCTGTAGGAGGCAACATGCCACACCCCTTCCGGCTACAGGGCCTTAGCAATCACTAGTTTTCTGCTAGAAAAACAGTTCCCTCCTTAGTCACACCGCATCACGCTTTTCTCTCTTCCCAAATGGGTAACTCCTACAAGGCCTTCAGAATTCAGACTCATTCTGGGTCTGTTTCCTTTGATCTGTAAAAGTATAATTTATAGGTATATAACCTCAGCTTGAGGTAATGTGAGGAGATCCATACATGCTTAATTATCACTTAATTTTTAGTACATTTTCATATTTAATAAACTGTGATAAAAAAACAAACCTCAAATTGTATGCTGTATACCAACAAACACTGGAATATGGTAACCTCGTAATTTATACTGCTAGGTTCCTCCATTCGTGTGCAGAATTTCATTCAGTAAGAAGAATTTCCACTGAAATTTCAAAGCCTTCCCTTTAAAAAGAGAAATTTTCAATTACTTATCTTAGGAATGTAGGTTTTCTCTCTCCTTTGGAAACAAAACAAAACTGAAAATTAATGAGATATTGAAGCTGATATGTGACTTTGTATTGCTTTCAAAAACTCTAATTTTGTATTCACTAAAACAGCTTCTTTGTTGTCACTGATTAATTTTGTAACGAGATATGACATAGTTAAACTCATAAAAATAAATGTTACTGATTTTAAAAATCCAGTTTTTGTTGATGCTCTATGTTGCCATCCCGAATAAAATTTCTACTGGAGGAAGGGATTTCACTATTACAAATTATTTTAAAACATTTTAAAATTACATCCTAGGAAATGTCAATAATCCCTTCACATTCTAATGCCTGTGATTCTTTAACAATAAATTATCTTCAACTTTGTGTCATGTTCTGTCAACAGTGAAGTTGAGAAGGATGGGGAAGTTAACATAAACACCTGCCTTACACCAGCAAGTGCTATGGAGGGCGGCAGAGGCGGTTCCAACCAGTATCCACACCCCTAGGGTGAAGTGGCATTTATGAGTCTCTACATCTCACACTTTCTTCTGAGTTCAAACTGACCAGTCCCTTGGATTATTATAGGAGTTACACAATTTTATTCTTGTTCCATGGATTGAGAGCTAAATGTTGGGCAAACTCTTTGTTATAGAGCACACTAATATTAAGTATCTTATTGATTCCACTTTTCAATCCAAGCATATTGTAGATGCTTAAAGTATATTCCCTGTGTCTTAAATATGCAACTTAAAATCTCTCCTTTATCCCCTGATATCATTCATAAACAAGTACTATTGTGTGCTCACGAGTTTCTTTAATTGGAGGACCAAAGACAGGTTTCTCTTCATCCCTGGCTTAAAATGCTCCCAGACACTTCCTTCCTGATTAGCAGCTTTAGTTTTATCACCATGGGTAACTGTTCTTCTGTCTAGGAGTTTTCAGTATAGAATTAAGAGCATGGCTTTGGAGTCAGATGAATCTCCCTTTGAGTCTTAGCTCTAACATTTAATATACGAATGAACTTGGGGGGTTACTTAACCTCTCTGAAATTCATTTTCCTCACTTATATGGGATCATTAAATCATCTACTTCACAGAACTGTTTTGGATATTAAATACACAGTTTCTGGTACATAGTGAACGTTACATAAGGTTGGCCTTGGCTATATTTTCTGACCGCAGTATCATATCATTATATGATATCATCATCAGAGGTAGTCAGTGGCTTAAAAGCATCTCCTAGAAGCATCCATTTCTTTGCATTTGAAAACCACTTTCTCTTACATGGTTTGCCAGGAGGCCAGTCCTGGCTTCTCACACAGAAGGTTTTTCTGTAAGCAATAAGAGAGAGCTAGCCCCAGTGCACAAGTAATTTTCCAGCTTCTGCTACATCACATTTGCTAATGTCCCATTGGCCAAAGCAAGTCACATGGCCGAGCCCAGAGACAAGCAGAGGAAATGGACTCCCATCTCTTCATGAGGGAGGCTGCCAAATATCACGGCCTTTCCACCCCCCCACCCACGTCTAAGCAATAAATAGATTCCCATGATCTTGAGAAAAACACAGTCTTTATTTTGATAATAAAGCTATGTTTAATAAACACTTGATAATTTCTAAGCCTGAGAGGTGGTTTAAATAGATACTCTTATTTTCATTCACATAACTGATATTTAGAGAGTCCATATGCAATGTTTGAGGGTACATAATGAATCAGCTTGGACTAGATTTTGAAGTCTCATGACTGAAGTAATGGTTCTTCCTAGTGTACTGGACTTGGCTTATTAAAACTAGTCCCTTTTAAAATTTGTGACAATTTGGTACCATTACTTTGTTTTTCATTATGACCCAGAGGTCATTAATTTCCCAGTGGGCTTGATCCTTTTGCTTAATTCTTAAGACAGGAAAATAATCCATTTACAAAACAGAAGACATCCTTCTCTTATAACTTTGTAATCTAACTCTAGCCTCTGTTGTTGTCTTTGTCTTTTCGAAAGCATTATAACTCGTGCTTTTCAAGAGCCATGTTGTGAGAGGGTAGACTGCTTGTCGAGTGGTTAAATAAGTCGTTGTAGTTACTAGTCAGTGCGTCCCTTTCAGTGCCACTGACTAACTTTCTGCCACCACTGCGCTAGACTAGAAATTGGTATAAATAGTGGCCTAATAAAATGCATGCCCACTTACAAGGTCCTGTAAGATCAAGATCAAGGTTCTGTGCTAGAGCTACATAACCATGACCCACAGTGGTTCCATAATTGGATGTGGAAACCGTGCAATTTAAACTAAAATTCAAGATACTTTTATTCCTGCTCTTCCACCCTTGTTACTTATTTATTTTTTGGTTGACAAGACATCCTGAGGGGGGTCATATAAATTCAATAGGAATAATGAGTAAAAATTATGTGAAGATGAGGAAGGGGAAAGAAGACATCCCGTGGAAGACCACAGAAGGGCACAACATTGTAGACGCTGAAGTGAGGCTGAGCAGTTCAAGGTGTAAGGGGACAGACAGGGACACAGCATGGGCAGCCTTTCAGGGAAAGGTGATATAGCAACCTACATGCAGAGATCATTGTTACTACTGCTGCGTCTAAAACAACTCTCCTGGGATGGAATTTTTTTCCACCAATCTCAGAAATAAAATACTAGTTTACAGTCCAGCTAATATGTACATTATCAAAATAAAATTATGGGAGAACACATGCACACTCCACTGGTAGTGCCAGGGCTTCCAAAAGTGGCCCAAGTTGATGGACTCCAAATTGAAATTCAGAATGAATGACACCTGAACATCAGGAAACTTAGTCTGTAGGAAAGTTACCTCTTTTCACATCCATGGCACTACCACATTCCCCCTTTCTTTTTATGTTTAGTTTCCTGAAGGTGAGATGAGTACTCCTGTTTTGTGAACTTCCTCAGATCAAGGGAACTACCCTCACTCCCTTTCCCATCTGACTTTCATCATCTTCAGTCAGTGACTTCAATAAAAGTAGGCTTCAAAGAAAATGAACCTAACAAATTTTAAATCTCAGAGCCTGTATTTTTTTTTTCTTTCCCCAATCTTTCCTATACTGGATATGATCAGTTGTAGGTAGTCAGTGGACATAGTTCCCAGAAGCCGGGAGTGAATTTTATCTCAATAGTCTGTCTACCTTGATCTTTTCCAGGTGAAAGGATGAGATCTTCTTTTCTAGCAGGTTGCATGCTATGCCTGTTTGCTGTACAAACAGAAGACCCTCTTAGATTGCCACTTTGTTGTCTTGTAATTTTTTTCTTTGTAGTCAAGAGAGAAAGTCAAGTTACATAATAATTATGCTTGTTTATCACCACAGAAGAAAGAACTTAAGGAAGAATTTATTACATAGTTGATATAGATGGTGATAAAAAACAGAATCCTACTAAAGACAATGGATTTTCATGACAGAATGTTTTTATCCCAATGCAGGATGAAGAGGAAGAAATCAAACAAGAAATTAACATGTTGAAGAAATATTCTCATCACCGAAATATTGCTACATACTATGGTGCTTTTATCAAAAAGAACCCACCAGGCATGGATGACCAACTTTGGGTATGTAGTGCTATCCAAATTTGTTTCTTACATGAAGAACAACCAGGGCCAAAGGGTTCATCTCTCTATCCTCATTTTGGATTAATTAACTCCTTCTTTGAAACTCTTAGCCCCATGATTTCCATAACATTGTGTTTTCAAGGTTCTTTCCCATTTCACTAATACCTCTCCATCTTTTAAGTATCTTGTTTTTTAAGATTTTATTTATTTACTTAGAGACAGAGAAAGAGAGTTTGTGCATGGACAAGTTGGGGGAGGGGCAGAGGGAGAAGGAGAGAGAGAATCTTAGGCAGACTCTACACTGAGCTTGGAGACTGACATGGGGCTCGATCTCTTGACCCTGAGATCATGACCTGAGCCAAAACCAAGGGTCAGACGTCTAACAGACTGAGCCACCTAGATGCCCCTCCAGCTTTTAAGTATCTTTATTTTTTATCCCTTAATGTGAACCACCCTTAGAGCAAGTTGTTAAGGTCTCTGGCTTTTCCACTAGTTACTACATTTATTGAGGTTTGGGTTGTTTTTTTTTTTAAGATTTTTTTATTTATTCATTTGAGACACAGAGATACAGAGAGAGAGAGAGAGAAAAAAGTATGAACAGGGGGAGAAGCAGAGGGAGAGGGAGAAGCAGGCTCCTCGCTGAGCCAGGAGCCTGATGTGGGGCTCGATCCCAGGACCCTGGGATCATGACCTCAGTCGAAGGCAGATGCTTAACCGACTGAGCCACCCAGGCGCCCCCGTTTATTGAGTTTTTATTGTATTTTAGGCATCATGCTATTTGCTTTTTGTGTATTATATCATTTATTCCAGCTCTTTGAGGGAGACATTATTATTTCCTCATTTCTTAGATGACAAAACTTGGGCTTACAAAGATGGTAAGTAAATTGCCCTAAGGTATTTGTAGTTGAAATGGCAGAGCAATGATCTAACCAAGCTCTTGGAGTCTTTTTCCTTGCCTATAACTAATGTGTGGATGACTGAAATTTAAATTCCAAGTCTGTGAGTGTAATACCTGACCCAGTCTGATACTGTATAAGTACTCTTAGAGGTTGCTTTCCTATCCAGTTAGCTATGTGCCCCCGTCCTGTATCTTTGACAGTCTGTTCCACTGAAAGTAGATTCAGTATGTCTGATACCAAAACCACTACTCCCCTCCCTTCCCTGCTCAGATTGCTCTTCTTCTCACCTTCCTGATTACTGTCCATGAAACTTTTATTTATTCTTAGGCCCTCAGTCCACTCAGTGGAAGCCTAGTTTTTGCAGTGGACTTCTACTTGATCTATCCATCTCTCTCTTTCTTGAATCTCTGTTCATCCCATATGTTGCTGTTGGATTAATTACTCTAAAAAATACCCTTTTAACCACTTATCATCTTATTCATTTTCTAGAGTTCTTAATATGTGTCTGGCACAGAAAATTTATTTAATTAGACAGAGCTTACTATATGCCAAATTATATACTAAATTATGTGGATCCCATGACTACTATTTCATGGATAATTTATCAAAGAATCTCAGTCTACTGTCTTAATGCAAAAGATATCTGTGGTCCAGTTGACAAGGTAAAATATACACAGTGAACCAGAGTTGGTGACCAAAAAGAATATAATAATGTAAGCTCAGAAAAATAACAAGATTTTCATGTCATTTGATAATTGACTACTACAATCTTTGGTAGTGAAAAGAACTGCTGGTTATTTTTTTCCCTATAAGTCCCATCTATAAATTTAAAATTTAAAAAAGTACTTTTGGGTAAATAAACCCTCTTTGTATGATCACATTGATTTTATATATTTTTATGTGATTTCTGAAAGAGTTATAGTAAGATTTTAATCATGGCCTCTTAAAAGTAGATATAAATTTGAAAATTAAAAATGTAAAAGTAGTAGGAGAAAATAGATGTAACCACATAATACTAAAGAAAGATATGAGGGCGTATATGCAAGAGCATATCCACAAAACAGAATTTTGATGAACTTGCCTGTATACATTTCTTAACATTTCCCATTACAAAAAAACCATAATAAACAAAACAACTGATAAACAACTGATTTAGGAAAAAATATCCATTTGGTATATGATGAGAAAGAATTTAGTAGCCTTTAGAGATGGGGAGTTTTTATAAATCAATAGTAAAATATGAAACTAAGAGAAAGATTGAGTTAAGAACAAGACGATTAAAAAAGTAAGAAATATCAATTACCTGTAAAGATGTTCTTAAAATAGAATCATACCAACAACATAAATGCAAAAGAAAACAAAAATTAAATACCATTCCTTAACTTGTAGATTGGCAAAGATTTTTTTTAAATGATTTACCCAGAATGGACACTCACACCCACTGCTTATGGAAATGAAGGTTGGAGGTTTGTACTCTATCTTTACTCAAGGGCAATTGGAATACATATGGATAAACATGCTCTCTCTCTGTCTCTCTCTCTCTGTCTCTCTCTCACACACACACACACATATATAAATAAATATTTGTGTAACTACATAAAGATGTATGCAGAAGTTAACCAATAAGGAATTGCTTAAAGTAAATCCATTAAAGGACACTATAGAAGGAAACATCAGCTGGTTAAAATGCTGTAGATTTATATTTACAATGGGTAAACAATTAACTATTATAATGGGGTTTAGATTAGATAAAGCACATTTTCATTTTTGTCAAAAAAAGAAAGAAAAAGAAAAAAATGTATCTATCCATCTCTATATATAAATGGTGGGGATGTCTAGAATAATATATACCAATGGAGTTGAAGATATTTGTATCTGGGTAGTCATTTCAGGAATTTGATTTTTGAAACTTTTTTCTTTTTTATGTCTGCTTTTTTTTCTTCTAAACTTTCTCTTAACTTGAATATCAGAGCCACTTCTGTTCCTTCTTTTTTTAATTGCTTTTTATGGGGCTGTCTTTGCTCCTCATGGATAGCTCTCTGAGTACAAAGATTGTGTTGTATGCATCTCAGTGTCCTCAGTGCTAGGGAGGTGCTGGGCAGATGATGCTGACAAAATAGTTGGTCTGTAAAGGAAAGTGATTATCATTCCCACAAACTTCGTTGCTAATATTGTTGGTACAAAGCAGATTGCTACAGGTACCTGTAGAGCTCATTTTATCTGTGACCTATAGGTTCAACAGAAATGATGAGAGGACGCAAATTGGAATATCTCTGTGTTCCTAAAGGACTTCTATGTCATCAAGAATCTAGCTTTTTAACAATGACCCCATATTGCCATAAGCTTCAGCAGATAAGAAGTGGACAATGATAGCTATTCTAGTGCTATCTGGAGAGAGGTGGTTGGTTTGGTCAGGGGCATGGTTTCCAATTAAAAGAAAGCACTAATGTAGCTTTGGAACCACCACCTCCAGGAATCACCTGCGGGAATACAAGCTGAGTTACACCCAACTATTAATATCATTTCTTTTGTGAGATGGGCCAGATCGGGTCGTTGGTTTTCTTGTGAGAATGAGTTGTTAAAATCTGGGTATTTATTTGGAAATCATTGGCTGAAGAAAAGAGAAGAGTGGTCAAGCAGGGATTGACTGGTTTTTACCCTTTTCCTAATGCTGTGATTTTTTAAGTTGGAAAGAAAATTAGTTGTCTTTTATTTTGCTGGGTTCCCATGAAGTTAATTGACTTTCCCAGGACCTCAAAGCTCATTAATGGATGAATGCAGAGCCAGAATACAGGCATCCTGAATTGTGACAATTTAGCTTGGCCTGAAGTTCTGTGAAAGGCACTGGAAGTTTTTTTTTGTTTTTTGTTGTTGTTGTTGTTTTGTTTTTTTAAATAAGTGAAACCTACAGTCCGTTTTCCAATTGGCACTGGGAGAAAGCAGCATGCCTATTCGCAACTGCATGGTGTGGAACAGGAGGTTTTGTACTCTTGGGAACCAGTTGCTGCCCACCAGTTCTCCTGGCCAGTTGCTCCTCCCATGAAGACAGCTGTGGTTGCTGGGACTCGAGAATCTGCATGTGTATATATTCACTTATTCATTCACCATCGATCCATTCATTCATCCAACAAATATATATCAAGCTCTTGCTAGGCACATGGCACTCTCCTGGGCACTTAAGCTATATCAGTGAACAAAACTGAAAAAAGCCCCTACTTACCTGTAGCTTACATTCCTACTACAGACCACAGACAATAACCATAATTAGTAAGAAAACTGCAGAGGATGCTGGAAGCTGATCAGTGCCTCGTAGAGCAGGGCGAGGTTAATAGGGCTGCAACCAGGGGAAGCCCCATTGTAGATAACTCGAAGAAAGGCATTCCAAGCCTGGTGTTTTCCAAGAATAACAATGGGAGCAGTGTGACCAGAAATATGGGGAGACGTGCGACCAGATCGTGCAGAGTCTTACAGACCATGGGAAAAATGTCAGCTTTTACTCTGAGTGAGGTGAAGGGCCACTGGAGGGTTTTGAACATGGAGGGATGGAAACTGATCCACATAGGTAAGGGGTCCCTCTCATTGCTCGGTTGAGATTAGACCAGATGGAGGCCAGAGCAGAAGCAAGGAGGCCAGTTAGGAGACTGTTTTAGCAAGCTAATCCCCTTCCTGAAGCTGGCAAAGGGAGATCTGCAAGTAGTGATCCCTCCCAAACCCAGGCCCCATGGGAGGACCCAGGCCTTCACATTCCATTTTCCCATCTGCAGTTAAATATTACAGGCCCCACATTCTGCTTGGAAGACACAGGACCTAGCATTTATCTGTTGGTGCTCCTGCAGAGGACTGTTGTGTCCATGCCCATGTCCCTAATCGTCCGTTAGCTTCTGTGTCACTGGAGATGAGAATACGAAGCCGTGAAATGCTCCTGAGGGCAAGAGCATCTTCTTTTTCTAGTTGTGCTCTTTCTATTTGACAACAAACTAAGGGGGAACTTGGAAAAGTAAAGGCAGAATCGAAACATAATAAGTAGGAAATTAATACTAGATTACAATATTGGTGGGAACCTGATTGTAGAATATGATAGTGTGTAGTTATTCCAAGGCC